TCCAACTAGGAACTAAACTTCTATGATTTACCAATGAAAAGCTTGTAAACTGGAAGTTTAGTGAAGCATGAGTCCAAGCAGAGAGTAAAGTTTAGAATAGCACTTTCTCTTTTGCTAGATATCTCGTGAACGCTCGTGATAGAATTTCTCTCTTTGGATGCTCAAAAGTTTGGTTAGAAACTTTTGTTTCAGCCTATATTTATAGGCTTCTCCTATGGATTAATCTCATCCGTTGGTTAGGATGAATTAATCTCTGACATTGAAATTCTTACAAGGACGAATTGTACTTTCGTCTTCTTGTGCTGGAGTTGATTTCCGGGTTATTTCTTTATCCTGCATTATTCAGTCGCTGAAATATCCCTTCAACGACAATTCCATATGTGTGTCTTCAATGCCAAGGACCCCAGTACAATTTTAGCATTCAATGTTAGTCAATTTTGTCTTCAATCGTATACATTCAATGTGTATAATTTCCGAGCTTCTTTTCTTTAATAATGTGACATACAGTTAACCTTTTGAGCTAAAATAATATATACCGGTAGGATCTAAATATCCTATTAAGGTAGAATAAAAATTACCTTATTGCATTTTAATTTTTCCGGTAATATTCAAAGTGACTCAAAAAGTGTACATTTATTTTTGTCACATAATTTTGAATGCTAACATACGAATAATATTGAGAAACAATGTACACGTGCTAAGTATAGTGGCATCATCAAAATCTATCAAAATTGGGTACTAACAACAAATATTTTAAAAAAACAGTTTATATTATTCATAAGAATCTACATAATTGTTAAACTTTACAGAAATTGCCCTAAATAGGAGTAGAAACGCTTTGAAATTCCAAAATATGAGTATCATGTTTTTTTATTCCCTGAATAGGAGTAATCTGTCAAGTTTGGGAAAAAATGTCATGTTTTAAAGCATAGTAATGCCAAACTTGGCAAAAATTTACTCCTATTCAAAGAATAAAAAACATGATAGTCCTATTATGGAATTTCAAAACCTTTTTACTCCTATATTTAGGGAATTCTTTCTAAACTTTATGAATCCACCTAAAAAATTTATTATTGATATAGTTTAAATCTTTCTTACAAGACAAAAGTTAATTTTGTATGTCAAGCATTTAAAATTTGTTCAAAGCTTCAAAAGGGGAAAAAGCAAAAAAAAAAACCCAGAACCGAAGCCCACTGGTTTTAAATCCTAGACCTTAGGAAATAACAAAGCTACATGCATAAACACTTCCGCTCCACCATTGTGACTTTTGAGTACGAACTTGTTATTAACATTAAAAATATCTAATTTCTGAAACAAATATATACCGTATATAATTAAATATTGGATATATATAGGGTTGAGTGGGGGCACCTGCCCCTGCCCCCACGGTGGATACGCAACTGCTCCTGAATATGTTTCTATTTTTGAGTACTTAACTCATTATGTCATTCATCATTGAAGTATACAAAGCCAAACATACACTCAAAAAATAAATAGAAGCGTAAGGATGTTTTTATTTGGAGTGTTATCAGCCACAGGTCAAACCAGTTCCGTACCGATGGGCGTAGCCCAACTGATAGCGAGGGAGTGCCACAAAGGTTAGGTTTCGAGTTCGAATCTCGTCAACTGCGATTAGAGGTGACTATGCTAAATAGGGCCTTCATCTGCAAGTACCGAGGACGAAACTTCACTCTCTATCTGTCAGATTGAGATTATAGTTCAATTTACATCCTTCCAACGTACCATCCAGTCGGGGTTGGGGGCTCTCATGGATGGGATGTCATCCTTTTTTTCAAATCAGTTCCGTAGTTATAAAATACACATAAATCAAACAATTACAAGGTAAAACCAAATTAGATAAGATCAAACTTAAACAGACGAGATCAACAAAAAACATCAAACAAACGAGGTTAGGCGGCATAATAGCAAATGGTTAGGCAGGAGCGAGCGGCTTTCGTCGTAGCCGCTATTATTGATTTGATGTTTTTATTTGGCTCTCACGTTAAGTACGTAGTAATGGTTAGTGGATTTATTCCAGAAATTACTAATAATGTAATTTTTTCAAAATAATGTAATGGTGTTTTTTGTTGAATTGAAATATTTGTTTTGATTTGATCTGGTTTATTTAAGTCTGGTTTGATCTAGTCGACCTAGTCTGAAATTATAAATGTATATTTCATGTGTATTTTATAGTTGTCGAAATCTGATTTGATTTGCCTAAATCTGATCTGGTTTATTCTGATTCGTTGTGTTTAAATTATCAGTCTAGTGGTTGACCCTAATTACACAAAAGGTGTACGTTACTTTAGGGACTACTGTCATACTAGGTGTCCTAAAAGCCTAAACTACGTGCGAATACACAATACGGAGTATCAAGAAATTATATCGTGAGATGGTTACACACACGATGCACTGATCCGAATATGGTGTAATTTGCTATAAAAAATACACCATATAATATTTGGAAAGAATGACATATATATTACTACCTCCGTCCCACTAAAATTGGGACGAGAGAAAGTGGCACGATTATTAAGAAAAGTGGGTTTGTGTGGCTGATATTAAATTGATAAAGTAAGAATGATTTAGAGTCACACAATTTTTACCAAATTTGGTATGAGACAATCTTAATGGGAGTTCCCGAAAAGGTAAAATGGGACAATCTTAACGAGACGGAGGGAGTACTTGCATATTTTGAATAGACAAAAATGTGACCATTTTATACTAGGACAAAAAAAATGACTAAACTAACTTCTCGTTCGTCATCCAACATCGCTTCCCTTCCTTCCAACGACTTTACATTTGGTAGTAATTTAATATTTTTTCCAAATATATGATCATATTAGTCACATTTTTGTCCAAATATACATGTGGTCATATTTTTGGAAATTAGCTTTAGTTTAGTAATATTCAGTGAAAACCCCCTAATATTTGTCTTTTTTATTTCTTCTTCGTTGTTGGGTGCCGTTTTTTATTTTTCTTCAATATTTTGATTTGTTTTCTTCAATTTCTTTTCTTCCTTTTTTTACTCCAAAGGGGGTCTGGGGGGCTGGAGTAATCAGATGTGAAACTCACTCCATTGAGTTTCAAACCCTTATGTGCCTAGCGGGTTTCGAACTCGAGACCTCTCACTAGGCACGATAACCTCACAATCAGCTGAGCTGGAATGCTTAGTTTCAATTTCTTTTCTCCTTCTCCGGCAAAATACTAAAAATTGAAGGAAGAAAAGGAGGATGACAGATTTTGTAGTCACTTAGCATTATTGAGACCCCATTTGGTCATACTCAAATTGGCTATATTGAGACCCCGTTTGATCATACTCAAATGGGCTATATGAGATCTCGTTTGGTCATACTCAAATCGGCTATATTGAGACCCTGTTTGGTGATCATACTCAAGTCGGCTATATTGAGAGCCCGTTTGGTCATACTCAAATCGACTATATTGAGACCCTGTTTGGTCATACTCAAATCGGCTATATTGAGACCCTGTTTGGTCATACTCAAATCGACTATATTGAGACCCCGTTTGGTCATACTCAAATCGGTTATATTGGTTGATTCTACTTAAATTTATAAAATTGTGATTGAAGTGGCTGGATTGGTTGAAAAGTCGAAAACGTGCTCACCAAACGGGCTCTACATAATTCAGCATGCAAATTTAATATTATTGATGAAAAAATTAGCTAATTAGTCTGTGATAAAAAGATCACAAATCCGCTACAAAAGTTCCAAAACTTGTAAGATAGGTCATAGGGGGAGAGTATTTTATTTTAAACTTCCAAAACTTATAAGATAGGGAGAGAGTATTTTATTTTGTTTATACGTGTGATTATGGTTGGACTCGGGTCGGGCCACCCGGTCCGTGGACCGGCCCTGCTCGCTACTGTGCGGGACCGGGACCGGCCTGGTTCTCGGGTCCGGATCCGGGTCGGGCCTAGGCCCGGGATAGGGCGGGTACGGGCTCGGGTCTCAAATTTGGTGAACCGGTCCGGCCGGGTTGGGCCCGGGTCAAATTGAATTTTTTTTATTTTTTTTTCATTTTTGGGGTTCCACCCGGGTTGGGCTTAATGGGTAGGATGGGTTTGGGGCGGTTGGGAGGGTGGGGGGTGAGGGGGGGTTAGGAAAGCAAAAAAAAAACCAAACCGGAGGCCCGGCCCGGCCTGGACCCGGACCGGACGCGGTGGCTACCCGGTCCGGTCCCGGGTCCACCATTCCTGAACCGCCGGCCCGCCCGGGCCTAGGCCCGACCCGGACCCGAGTCCAACCAGTGTGATCCCTACCTCATCTGGATCCGCTTCGTGTCTTAGTCTAATTTCGAACTCCTTATAATCACCAACCAATGTGTAAAGAACAACTTTCCATTCTGTAACCCCACCACCCAACCAAAAATGTACTAACCCAAATAGTGTGACCGTGTTTCACTGTTTCCATTGTTTTAAGAAAAGAAAATTTAAGAAAATGAAAATAAATAATAAAGTCTCACTGTTCCCATTATTTCAAGAAAATCAATTTAGAAATGAAAATAAATAATAAAGTCCCACTGTTTCCGTTAACTTTTGAAAATCCCATTACTTTAAAAAAAGATTTGTTGTAAAAATGAAAATAAATAATAAAGTTTCGCCTTTTTAGTTACTCCCTCCGTCCCTAAATTTACTTCCAACTTTCCCTTTTCGTTCATCCCAAAAAGAATTTCACTTTCCCTTTTTGGTAAAGAATTTGTGGTTCACAACATTTCTCTCTCCTCCGCACAACTTTCCAACACACAATTCTCACTTTCTTAATCACCATGCCACTTTAAATTGAAAGAACATTTAGGGACGGAGGGAGTACTTCGTATTTAAAAATAAATACAGGTGGCAGACGACGGTGCATGTCTGCCCGAAGACTTTAGAAAAAGTAACCGGGTCCGAATTGTAAATAAATGAAAACTGAAGCCCTTATAAGCTAACTTACCTCTCTATATAAACCTCACTTATTCTAGCTTTGAATTAACAGCCGCTGTCTCTCTCTTGGACTCCTCCACACACCTGAGTTTGATTTTGACTTTAACATCCTCTGTCAACTTTCTCTCACTAGAATCAAACCATGGCCCTGCATATTGGTTCAGCCCTTCCGACCCATGTTAACTTCCAGCGCCGACGAGCCACCGTGAACTGCAACTCCTCGCCGCCGTTGAAGACTCCGGGCAAGGATAGCTCTGAGATGACGAGGACCCATCTTTCGAACCTTGAGAAGGTTCTTCAGGGGCAACTTGATGAAACCCCGGCAGGCCCGCAGCCGGGTTTCCCGGAGAAGGAGAAACAGAGCAGGAGCCGATTTCAAGGGCTGCGGTTGAACAGGCTTTGGCCGGAGGCGAAGGCGTCAGAGGAAATCTCTCCCCGGAATTCGAAAATGCTGCAAAGGCTTTTGTCCATGTCGAATCAACAATATTCCCCGAGAAACAACATACGCAGCCGGTGGAGGGAGTACCACGGCGGAAATGACTGGTCGGGGATGCTTGACCCCCTCGATGAGAATCTCCGGCGAGAGCTTATCCGGTACGGGGAGTTTGTTCAAGCGGCCTATAATTGCTTCCACTCGAGTCCCGCCACGTCAGCGGATGAGTGCCCGTCCCGCTCGAGGAGAGTAGCATTGCCCGACACTTCATATAAAGTGACGAAGGGCCTTTATGCCACGTCGTCCGTCGGATTGCCCGATTGGGTAGATGACATGGCACCCCATCTCGGGTGGATGACCCAGAGGTCGAGTTGGGTCGGATACGTGGCCGTGTGCAATGACAAGAAGGAGATCGAACGGATGGGAAGGAGGGACATAGTGATCGCCTTACGCGGGACTGCCACGTGCCTTGAATGGGTAGAGAATGTTCGAGATGTACTCGTTCCAATTTCAGGCCAAGATGCTCTAGATGAGATGCAATCCAAAGTACAATGTGGGTTTTTAAACTTGTACCAAACCAGTGGAGGGAAAAACATCCCAAGTTTAGCACAATCAGTTGTGGATGAGATTCAAAGATTGATAGAGCAGTACAAAGGGGAACCGTTGAGCATCACGGTGACCGGACATAGTCTGGGAGCGGCATTGGCTCTATTAGTAGCCGATGAGCTAAGTACTTGCGCGCCATATATGCCCCCGATCGCAGTTTTTAGCTTTGGAGGCCCGAGAGTGGGTAACCGAGGCTTTGCCAACCGCCTCAACGCAAAAAATGTCAAAGTATTACGAATAGTCAACAACCAGGACGTAATTACAAAAGTTCCAGGCATGTTCGTGAACGAGTCTCTAGATAAGAAGTTACGAGAGTCGGAGGCCACAAGCGAGCTCCTAAGCATGCTCGATGAGAGCATGCCGTGGGCGTACTCTCATGTTGGTAGTGAACTTAGAGTTGACACTACAATGTCACCATTCTTGAAACCAAATGCAGATGTCGCTTGTTGTCATGACTTGGAGGCGTATTTGCACTTGGTGGATGGATTTTGGGCTTCTGATCGTCCTTTTAGATCGAATGCCAAAAGGAGTCTTGTGAGGCTTGTAAATGAACAAAGATCTAATATCAAGAAATTGTATACAAGCAAGGCAAAGGGTTCAAGTAGCCTAAGCCTTGATATAGATGATACACATTTTACTGCTCCTACTTAGTTTACCTAGTCCATCTTGAGACACTAGGAAATGTATATATTCCGTTCTGTGCAAATAGTTCTAAAGTTGACTTGATCACCAAAGGAAGACTCGAGTATAAGTTTGAGTAATTAATCTTGGTCTTTAAAATAACTTACACCTAACCTCTCTACACCAATGTTAGAAGTCCTCACACTTGAATGTCAATCATAAGAAAAATACAAACACCAACAAGTAAGACGGTTCAATGCAAGGAGTTCAAATTTTTAAGATGTTTAACGTAGACTTTTTTAAGATGAAGATGATAATATGTTGCTAATTAGTTTATCTCAATAAAGCGGCGTGAGATCGCTGAATATACAATTTATTCTAGAAAATACATTGAGCACCCTAACGGGTTTATGATGGAGCTTGTTATTAGTGTGATGAATGACCAGGATTCATCATCAATTAAAATATTTAGAGGTATCCTGAGCACGTTGTTGTGCTCTATATATTGTCTCCAATTTATTCAAGAACCTCCATCTTTGGAATCTTCGTGTATTCTTTTCTCTACGAGTCTTAAAATTGTGTGTGCCACAAATGCTAACGACAAATTTGTGAAAAGACTGAAAGAGGAAAGTACTCAAAAAATCCATTTATCAACATTTTTGACATCTCCCTTAAAAAAGGTTTAGCCAAAAGTCAGATCCTTTTGAAAATATTTTGACTTAAGAGATAATCACTTTTCTTGTTTAATTAGTTAGAGCACGTTTGAAGAAGAATTTGTTTTTCGGCTTATCAGACTTATCAGCCAATTTTTTAACCAAACCCTTGATTTTTGATTTCACGTGTTGAATTGTGTAATAGTAAGAAAAAGTAAGACTGGATTATGGCTGTATTGGCCGAAGTATTTTAGCTATTCTTTCATATATATTTTTCTTTATTTTATTAAATAAAATATATTTTAAACATAATTTTTTCATAAATCACCAGAATAAGTCAATACAGTTACTTCAGCCAAAACTTTATAAATTTCAGAATTAAAATTTCAACGTTATCAAAAGTAAAATTTCACATAGTATCTTATTAACCACAATTATGGAAACTATACAACAATGACTTAACGGCGTGTGAAATGAAATAAGGGAAGTATTTATGGAGCTAGAAGCCAAAAGTTCAACTTATCTTTTAAAAATGTCAATTTGTACCTTTTGGTATTGTATCAGACTTCATGCGTGAGATTAGAAAATGACAAATTTTCAGCATTGTTTTTCTGCCTATCAAATTTATTTGCCAACCTTTTCATCATCGCATAACTTTTAATTTCGCGGGCTGAATTGTGTAATCATAAGAAAATGAAAGATTGAAGTTATTTTTCTGATTGTATTGGATGATGTTATTTTAAAGAACCATTTAGCTATTTTTTCATATAATATTTTCTTTATTTTATTAATAAAATATATTTTAAATATTATTTTTACATAAATCAAAAGAATCCATAAATTGAACCACTTCAACCACATCTTCATGAGAGCATTTCCTAAATAGGACTAAAAGAAGGTAGAATTGCAAAAGTAAGACCACTATGTTTTATTGGACAAAAATATGACTAAAAGAGCTAATCTGACAAAACTACTCTTAATGAACAAAATTAAAAGTTCGCAGGGGTTGTGCGAATTCCCCTGTGCGCATGTGTGCGTCTCCAACTCTCCAAGCCTCCACAGTTCACTCAATGCCTCCACCAATGGCGCCTCCTCCGCCCTCCATCAAGTCTGCCACCTCCGCCCCCTCAGCGAGTACACTGTCATCATTCTTCGACAAGCATCTGCCCTCTGGTGACTCTGTGAAGACTTCCATGAGGAATGCCACTTGATATGCGAGAATGCCACTTAATATGCATGATAATGAAACAATAATGACAATTTTGTATAGAAGCATGACATTCTCAATATGACATTTTCAAATAATGTAATGACATAAACGTGGCATGTTTTAAAAATGACTAATAATGACACAATAATGACAATTTCATATAGAAACATGACATTCTCAATACGTCTTTTTTAAATATTGCAATGACATAAAAGTGACATTTTTTAAAAATACTCAATAATTATGACGTTCTCTTACTCAAAAAGTGGCATTTTCTGGAATCATTAGTCAAAGCATTTTGGGATTCATACTAATCAAAATTGATAACAAGAAATTCAAATTCAGATACATCTTCATTTGAAACTTTCATAATTCAAATTTTTATTTAAAATTTGATTGATAAAAAACTTAAAAAAAAGCAGAGAACTGGGAGGAGGAGGAGGAGGAGGAGGGGGGGGAGGAGGGGGGGGGAGAATGAGAAGGAGGAGGATGAGGAGGAGGAGAAGAAGAAGAAGAAGAAGAAGTCGAGGAGGAGGAGGAAGAAGAGGAGAAGGAGGAGGAAGGAGAAGGAGGAGGAAGAAGAAGGAGGAAGAAGGAGAATGAGGAAGAAGAAGCAACAGAAGAAAGAAGAAGCAGAAACAGAAGAAGAGGTGTTGAGAATATTATACAGAATTCGCATATGAAGATGAAGAACGAACGAAGCTCTTGGAATTATTAGCGGAAGAAGATAAGCAGGTCTTAGGGTTTAGAATCGAAAAACTAACTGAATAAAATATTACAAGAGGTATTTATAGAATAATGACTAATGGTCTAATACGAATGGGCTAAAAGATAGAAAGCCCAATGACAAAATAAAAGAGTAAACAGGTCCATTAAGCCCAGCAGTTTGATCCAATAAGCTTTATTCTTGATACGCCCCCTCAAGAGGAGCATGTATATCTAGCATGTTCATCTTGACTGCAAACTGATGGAATAATGGATTCCCAAGAGGTTTTGTATATATATCTGCAAGTTGAAAGTTATTTTTAATATGAATCAAATTTATTAATCCAGATACTATTTTATCTCTAATTAAATGACAATCTAATTCAATATGTTTAGTTCTTTGATGTTGAATAGGATTATGAGCAAGATGATAAGTTGATTTGTTATCAGTATATAAAATGATAGGTAAAGTGAACTGAATATGTAGATCATTAAGAATGTAATAAATCCACTGAGCTTCACAAACAGCATTTGCACAAGCCCTGTATTCAGCCTCAGTAGAAGACCTACTAACTACCTGTTGTTTCTTAGATTTCCAAGACACTAAAGAACTGCCAATATAAAAAGCATAACCAGAAACACTTCTTCTAGTATCAACACAAGCAGCCCAATCTGAATCAGTATAGGCTTGAATAGAAAAATCTGAATCAGAGGAATAGAAAAGTCCTTTACCTGGGGAGTTCTTGAGATATCTAAGAATCCTATGAGCTGCATTCATATGAATGTCAGTAGGATAAGCAAGAAACTGACTTAAAACTTGCACACTGTAAGCAATGTCAGGTCTGGTAACAGTTAAATAAAGCAGTTTGCCAATTAAGGTTCTATAGGTTTTAGGGTCATCAAGGACAGTTCCATTATCCTTTGAAATTTTAATTTTTGAATCCATAGGAGTATTTGAAGGTTTACAGTGAAGATAACCATATTCTTTTAAGATATCTAGAGTATATTTCCTTTGACATAGGTTTATGCCTTTGTTAGATCTAGCAATTTCTATGCCTAATATGTATTTCAATTCTCCAAGATCTTTTATAGTGAACTTATTGTGCAAAAAAGTTTTTACAGCAAAGATTTCTTCCATACTGTTGCCAGCTAGAATAATATCATCAACATAGACTAAGATAGCAGTAAAATAAGATTTATCAGTTTTAGTGAATAAAGAAGAATCAGCTTTAGATTGAATGTAACCAAAGGTTTTAAGGGAATCAGAAAGTTTACAAAACCATTGTCTGGATGCTTGTTTAAGTCCATAGAGACTTTTGATAAGTTGACAAACTCTTTTGTCATCAGCAGGTATATAACCTGGAGGAGGCTGCATGTAAATAACTTCATTTAGATCACCATGTAAAAAGGCATTATTTACATCAAGTTGATGTAAAAACCAGTGTTTAGCACTAGCAATTGCTAAAATGATTCTAACAGTTGTTAATTTTACAACAGGTGAAAAAGTATCAAAATAGTCAAAACCCTCTTCTTGAGTATACCCTTTAGCAACTAATCTAGCCTTATATCTTTCTAAAGATCCATCATGTTTTAGTTTAGTTTTATAGACCCATTTGCAACCTATTATATTCTGATTTGAAGGAAGATTAACTAAAATCCAAGTATTGTTTTTCTCAAGAGCATCAATTTCAGAGGACATAGCTTTCTGCCATTCAGGAAACTTAGAAGTTTGTTTAAAAGTTTTAGGTTCAGTAATGTTGGAAAGAGCAGCAGTAAAACAAGAATGAGAAATACTTAATCTATTATCAGAAATATGATTTTGAATAGGATATCTTATAAAATTGTAAGAAGAAGAATTCTGAGAAGTGGTACCTGTAGTAATTGAATCAGGTAATTCATAACTGTAATCCTAGAGATGAATAGGTAAAGATCTTACCCTTGTTGATTTTCTTTGTGAATGATCTTCTGGGTTTATGGGAATGTTAGAATTTTGTAAAGTATTGGAGTCATTATTTTGAGTAGAAGTATCCATATTAAAGATATTAAGTTCATCATTGATTTGATTTTCTAAAAAAATATCAGAAGAAGTGTTGTTTTTATTTGAGATGTCATAATCAAAAAAATCATGATTTGGAAGAATTAAAGAATCAGAATCAGATTGATGATTATCTGATTTAGAAGAAATAGAATCTTTTCTATAGGGAAATGTCATTTCATAAAACTTTACATTTCTAGAAATAAAAAATTTATGATTGATAATATCATAAAGTTTGTATCCTTTAGATCCTAAAGGATAACCAATAAAAACACATTTAATAGCTCTATTGTCAAATTTAGATCTGTCTGTGTTAAGAGTAGAAGCATAAGCAAGAGATCCAAAAACTCTTAAATGAGAATAATCAGGAACTTTATTATATAAAACTTCATAAGGAGATTTATTATTCAAAACAGCAGTAGGAAGCCTATTTATAATATGCACAACAGTAAGAACACAATCAGACCAAAAAGTAATGGGCAAGCAGGATTGAAATAAAAGAGCTCTAGC